CCCTTGTCCTGGGGACCCTCACAACACCACAACACCTAGGGGCCTGGAATGTCATTGTCAAGGACCAGACTTGTCTATTCTGCAAAGTCTAGAAAGTTCTAAAAAACCCTTTCAGCACTTGAAGAGATTCTGATTTGCTACAAACCTGCACGTGACAACCCATTCTGTAGAAACCTGGTGCTGTAATCCAGGGTATTTTAAAAAGACTTGTGCAAAGTTACTACTGTAAATCAAGAGCCAGCACTGAAGAGTGCTCTAACTGCTGCCCTCTCTGTATAAATCTTTTAATAGCTTTAAAATCTCTGTAGATGTATAATTCTAGCTCAGATCTAGGTTAAAATCTGGTTCAGGAAAAACTGATTAGAGTGCAACAAGTACAATTATTATTTTTTACCTTAGATTTTGCAAGTATTTCTGCCACTTTGACAACTGGATCCTGAGTTAGACTGAGTTTGTTCTGGGCATTCATTTTGCTGTTCAACCAATTCATAGCCTCATTAATGTATTTTTCAACTTTCTCCATCTCAGCAGGATCTAGGTGGTCATATTTTTCATCCTAAGGAGAGAGAGAGAGAGAGGTATTTGTATCACCAATTAAAATATGCTGCTCACCCTATTAAGTTAATCTTTGAAGTTACAGCAACACTGGTAACAGCTGTAGTTCAGAGATCCATTTCAGGTGGTATCAGCCACCATAAAAACATAAAACCCTCTGATTTATGTTCTCATGAAGCAGCTCTTTCTGCTAGCAATGCTGAAAAAAGCAGAGCAAGAGGCAACTTTACAGGATTTATTTAAAAGACTCTACAGCAACTTTACAGGATTTATTTAAACACAAAAGACTCTACAGCCAAACACAAAACACCTACAACCATTGAGTAGCTAAAGCATCTGGCTTTACCTTATTTTTGTATGCTTCTACTGCTTTCATAAGGAGCTGAATCTTCTTCCCCAGTTCATTTAGAACTTTTGGTCTTTCTTCATGTTCTATGCATCTTTCCTGGATAGGCTGTCCAAATTTCTGGAATAATAAGCACAAAGATCTTTACAAAACACATATTTCCTTTAGTCTGCTCTAAGAATACAATGCAGCATGGGAAAGAAGGCTGCCTTCAACTCCTTTTCTCACCCCTTCAAAGAGCCAAGTCTTTGCATATTGCTTTAGTCCAACAACAAAACCAAAAAAAAGCAGAAGGTTAAACCCAGGAATAGTGACTGTTCTTTCTGGGCTTGGCATTTTGCTGTTTTTTTGCAAAAAGAACATTTGGAACGGAAACCAGTGAGGCTTTAAGGGATGGTTTAATTTTTAAGTAGTTAATCTGAAAACATCTAATTTTATCCACTGTTTGCTTTTTCCTTCTCTCGAATCCAGGCAGTTGCCTGGATCTACTGTGTTTCCATTAATTATTCCTCCCCTTGAGGAAATGTGACTGGAGAGTAAACAGCTGGAACCCAAGGGCTAGACACATCAACTTCCAATAAAGTAGGTAATTATTCACCAGAACTCATTTTCCCCATCAGATCCTTAAAATCTGAAGCATTTGTCATCAATAAACAAATGATACAATGGAAGCTACTGTTAAAGCACCCCAGAGCCTTTATTGTTGGATATTAGACTCAAAAGTTGGCCTTACTGCACATCTAAAGAAGATCACTGAGAACAGGGAAAACAGAATATATATTCTGGAACATAATTCTCATTACCCAGGAGTGCAGTCAAACTACTCAGAAGCCTCTTGCAGACTGTAAGAGGTCTGACAGAAAATTCCCAGAGCAATTAAATCTATTACCAGTAGTGACAGTCTGCTTCATTTCAACCATCATCAAATTAGGAACACAACTCATATTAAACTGTATTTTTAGTTCTAAGTATGAGTTTTCTAGAAAACAACTTAAAACCTTACTTTTAATTCCTGAAGCTTATCCATGTATACTTGTTTTGGCTGGTCCTCTCCATCTTCATAAAGCCAGTTTTCTGTGTCCTCCAGCATCAAGGTCAGCTTGTTTGAGTCCTACAAAGCAAATTATGGACACTCCAAGTCAGAAAGGAACACATCAAATGAGACTTCTGTCCCTGGCACAAACCCACCCTACTCAAAAAAGGACTGCTTCATCAGCTTAAAACATTCCAAGTGAGAGTGAAGGAAAACAGTAATTACCAGACTTCAAAGCCCAGATTTTACAGTGATGAGAGAGGCAGGACAACCCTGCTCATGTGATTTGCAGGTGAAGTTTACCAGAGTTACAAAATCAGTCCTGAGGCTATTTAAGGCAGTCCATGCACCTCTGAAGAGTGTTCCATATTATTCATTTCCTTTTTATTCCTACCCACTCATGCCATTCAGAGCCTACTTTCCTGTGCTGACCATAGGGTTTTCACTTTCTGCCTGCATCCCTGACCCTTCCTTGCCACTGAGGAGCTTCTCAGGCAGTGAAGAACTCTGCAAGTCAAATGTCAGGTGTAAACATTAACCTGAACTTCACTGAAGTTCAAAATTCCATTCCAAAACTATCCAAGAGACCCCTGCAGCCTCCACAGAACACACACTCAAAATTTATCCACACAAAGGAACTTTTCCCAGCAGCTGAAATGTATAAACAGGTCTTACTTCTTCAGTGATGAATTTCTCAAAGGCTCCACACAGCTTGTCTCTGAATTCATACACATATTCTTCAACAGCATTCTTAGCATCATTTCGTTCCTTCTCCAGCTTGTCCTGCATCATCATCTTCCCCTAGGGTGGAGAAAGGCACACTGAAAACTGAAAGCATTTTGAAGTGTCAAGCGTAGTGACTGCTCTTCAAACTGCACCAGAGAAGCTGGCAAAGGCCTGATAATTCACAATTATTGATAAAAATGTTCACCTCTGTCTAAGTCATCACTACAAGCACAACCAGAATGGGCTAAGTCCAGAGAAATTGAGACATTTCAACAAAAACCAAAACCACAACCAAAATCTGTTACAATTATGGGCAACTTTCCAAAGAATTCTAAATTAGCTAAGTCAATGATTGCAAATTTTTTTTAGATACTTATTTACAGTGACATGAATTTGAGCAGTCACCTCTTTATGCTGCTTACCTCATTTTCTATATAGGAATTGATCAGATCTTGTCCCAGCTGCCTACAGAGGCTTGCCTGTATAGGGAGGTCAATACTCTTAACTTTTGTTTTAGCCTTTGGCTGGGAGGGATGATCTTGCTTCTCTCCAGAAGCAGCCTGTGAAAAGAGTGACACTACTAAGAAACTTCCAGGAATCTTAAATATTATTACATTTATGACCGAAAAAGAAAGACAAATGAAACTAGTTAAGACAGCTACAAATTAATATTATGCAAATTAAGCATCTAATTATTTCTCTGTATTCAAAATCACTATTAACATTAGTTTGGAACCAAACAGGTGAAATGAATTTCTTTGAAGAGCCATTAAGTAAACTTGTTCAAAAGCTTAAAGCACTGCATATTATTCTTCACAATGTTTCCTAATCTCCCTAAATTTCATCTTCATTAGAAAACCAGGTTAAAAACCTACTTCAAAGTTTTAATCATGTTGAAAATTTAAAGTGCTATGGAAGGATTCCTGACTTATCCATTTCAGTACAGCTGTCTTCTAAACACAGTCCCATGTTTTCCAACTAGCAAAATCAGTTAAGTGTGAGAATACTGGGCTAAAAATGTCCTATCAACACTGAATACAAACCTTTGTTTCATTTCCAGCATTTTCAGTCTCCTCATCTGCCTGGTTCTGTTGTTCAGTTTGACTTTTCTGCACACCCTCGTCTTGATCAACCTGCATTTTATCCTGCAGAGAGTTACATAACTGAATGCAAAGGTTTGCTGTAAGATTGAGGACTGATGTCAACTGCAGTAAATCCCACACAACATCCAAACTTCACAATCAATCTTGAAAATTTACGGTTCACCATGTTTAAACAGGCATTTTGATGTAGTATTTGTAGTATTTGTATTTATAACTTTGAAATTAAATGAAAATTCTACTCTGCTGCTTGATGTTGCTGTCTGCCCCCATTAAATAATTACACTAAGCCTTGTGAATACTCACTTGAAATTGGAAACAAAAACATAAAAAATGAAATCAAAGAACATTCTAGCAACACACCACCAACACAGGAAACAATAATGGATTCTCTATGGAACAGCCAGAACTTTGACCTTCTGTCATTTCTGACTTCAACTTTGAAGCTTGCAACCGAAAGCAGAAGTCATTTAATCACTGTAATTATTACCTGCATCTGTCTCAAAAGGCAGTGAAATCAATAAAAATTAGCTTCTGTAGTTAATTTTTTTAAGTAATTTTTCTGTAGCTATTTCTTTTAATCCCAAAGTAGCCTCTTGGGAGAACATGAACAACTATCTTCCCTCCATGCCACCCAAAATAGAGAGAGCCTCACTTAAATTTTTCAGTAAGTTTATCACTTTTGCCTTATTCTAACTTTAACAATCTGATTGGTAAATTACCAGTACAGATCACTTGGTTTAAGTAATACAGCTCCATGTCATCACTCAAAAGCACATTTAATGACAGAGTAATGAGTAAGCCTGGTGTTTTCAGGATGATTCTAATGCTCAGAGATCCAGAGCATTAATAACCAACATGCTGTAGCTAAGGTCTGAAAGGTCCAAGACTGCCTCCATTACAAGGAATTAATATTTCTGGATTCACAAACTACATATGAATGTAGAATAATTTACTACTAGTTCTGCAAAATAATAAGAACAATTGTTTAAGGATTTCAAACTCTTATCACAGGTGCCTATGTTGTAGTTCAAAGTGGAGAACAAGAAGACTACTTCTACCAAATTTAAAGTTTTGTCACCTGACAGTAACAAAAAAGTGGTACCTAAATCTTAATTTGCTGTTCTTACTGTTCACACAGAAAAGCCAACAACTGGAAGGAGCTGCTTTGCCTACAGGAAACAGCTAGAGAGGGGATAACAGGACACACAGACAAGACAAACCTCCTCCTCAGAGTCGAGGGGATGATCCTCAATACTGAAAGGTAATTGCTGACAAGCACCATCGTGAAACAGAAGATGTGTTAGATGAAAGAAGTGCTACAAATGGAAAGCCTGAGCATGGAGGCAGCTACTCTCACACTGAATTCAGCACACTCCCAGTAAGCTCCACGAGCCTCTTACACTAAATGCCAGCTCCAGCACTTCCAACCTTGGCTCATTTGATCACCAACATCATGTATGGAGCTGCACCATGCTCAGCATCTCAAATATGCCCACATTCCTGGAAAGCAGTGTAGTGTTCAAGAAGTTGCTTATACCAATTCTGTAATGCTAGTTGAGTAACCATTTGCTCTAATTCCTGTAGAATACCCAACTAAGGTGGGAGAAGCTAAGGCCAAATCCTAGGAGAAAGGCTGTCAGGGCCAGTGCTGGTGTTGCTGTTTCCAGCTCCAAAGGGGCATCCAGACCTCAATTCTGCACTGCAAGGGGGCACAGCTGCACCCCACTGGGAGCTATTTCAAGGAGCCAGTGCAGTTTTCCATGGACAGAGAAATTCCATAGATTTTTTACTCACTGAAAATATACTTTGTGAGGAAAAACCTTTAGAATTAATTTGCCAACAGATCTCTCTGCCTTTTGCTAGCAACACTAAAGGCTAGTAGAGAGATGATGAAGAACAAGGAAAAAACTACTTTGTGACTTTTTTAGAATCCGTTTTCCCATTCTTTGTTCCTATTGCCACACTCAAGCAGTTACATAACCACAGAAGTAATTGAAGGGTGGAGCAGCAGTACCCACGAGAAGCCAAGCAGGGCCATTTACCCTGCAATTATGGGCTCTCATTGTTGCCACAATGACAGTGAAGACGTTCACAAGCTTTACATACCAGCTCCTCATCTCTGCCTTGGTTCTTACTTGCAGACTCGGTGTCCATGGGGGTGTCGTTGTGCTCGCCCTCCACGCTCAGCTTCTCGATGATGGAGGCGCTGGCCACGCTGAACAAACCGTGGATGTTGACTCGCACCTTCACCTTCACCTTGGAGTTGTCGCCGTCGTGCTGGGGACTCACATTCTGAATAGTGAAACGCCCTTGGGAACGACAGGAATGGCTTTCATTGTTGTCCCAAAGTGCAGAAAAAGGGGGGGAAAAAACCCCAAACACAATTCTTTAAGGGTGTTAATTTAAACAGCGAGTTCACTGTTTGGAAACTTTCTGCTTAGCTGACAATCCTACAATTTAAGCTGCAGGTAGATAAACTAAAAGCTGGTTCCCCAATTATTATCAGTTCACTGATAAATTTGCTTTATCTGTATTCATAAAAAAAAGACAGTACTTTACTAGGTGTTCTACTTCTCTGTTGCCTTCTGTAACCACCACACTAGAGAAACTACTCTGATTTCATCTCAAATGGTTTCTTTTGTCCACGTAACTCAAACTTCACACTGAAAAATAAAACGTTAACAGAGATAAAATATACTGCTTAAATTTCATAACATGGCTGCACTACACTTTTCAGAAAATGAACAGTGCTTAGCAAGGTTTCTGAAAGCAGTGGGGTTGATCAATTATTTTGCAACTTGTTGAATATTTAAGTGTAGATGGTGTGCATATATAAAGGAGAATATTTCTTCCTCAGGACCACTTGCATAGACACTTCCACAGGACTTCTTGCATAGACAGCCAAACAGATAGCAAATTTGCACCTGATTCATGAATCAGTGAATAAAACAATGAATTAAAGAAGTGTACTAGTAACTGCAAAAAAAGTAGCATTAGCTAACAAGACATTTATTTATGCCATCTAATTCTTTAGACTATACTACAGGTGCTTAAACTGAGGAAACACCTATATTTTATATTCTCAGATTAACAGAAAGAGACATGACAGATAGCATGAGACAAGTTATCTGTCCAGACATGTTGGAGATTTTTTCAGAGATGGCTTAGAAGGCAGCTGTGAGGGGCAGATTCTCACAGCCTGTTTCTGTGAACAGCAGAGGTTCTCAGGTTATTTTTAATTACAAGTAAAGGTGACAAACAGGAAGGCCTTGAGAGCCTTGCACATCAGAGTTCTCAGGCAGCTTTCTCATAACAAGTGGATGTTCTATCTTTGGCTGTTTTGGGAAAGCAAGAATAATTTTGAGAACCCAAATCTTGGTGTTGGAAACATAAGGAGGGGTTGGTATGTTATCTCTGACCTATTGTGAGCTCAGATTTTGCAATATGCATGAAGTGAATTAACACTGTTATAAAAGGTGCCTGATGGATTAATAAATGGGAGTCGATGGCTGACCAACGCAAGGTGGGTCGTCTCCCTCCGACTTCAATACAGACAGGCAACAGCTCCTCTGATCCAATTTCTTTGAAAAATACAGGCTGGCAGGCACATAAGATCCTAATCAATTTTATAGAGACTAAAAGAACCAGACAATAGAGCACTAAACTCTTCGTGCCTACTTCTTTTGAAGCATTCAGTAACTGTAAAGATAGACAGAAAGATGAATGCAGAGTTTTTTTAGGCATGTCAAACAGAGATGTCAACATGGTTTGCTCACTACACTTAAACCAAGAAGCCTGTGCTGAGCCTTTCTAAAGAACCTAAGCTAGAAAATATGGAAGTAACAGATCTCACAAGAGAGGAGAACCACTTTTTCCCATATGAAAAGGAGCGAGGGATGGGGGTTTTATTCCCTTGTCCTTACCTATTCTGGAATCAGGATAAGGCACTTCATGTGGATGGGTATAATAAGCTTCCAAGTCAAAAGGCTCCTTCTTGTGGAAGGTAATTACTTTTGAGAATGGAGCAGCATGGTTCTTACTGAAGACTTCACACTCCCTACAGCAATAAACGTTAGATACCATTAAACCTCTGAGCATAACTTCATGGATAATCAAAGTCAAGGTGTGTTAACAATCAGCAGTCCTGCTGACCAAGCAACTGAGTAATTTGGTTTAATTCAGTTTTTAACAAGAGTTGGAGGTTGAAGGCCTCTAGGTCTCAAAGCTGGACTCTGCATTTTATGTCACGCTTATTAAAAATTAGGCAACTTCAACCCAACATTTTAATTAACTGTATTTCCAATTGTTAAGCAGTAACTGGAACCCAAAAGGCAAAATGCTAAAAAAGAAAATTAGAATTTCAACATTTCTCTTTATATCCAAACACACATTGTTTTGTAGGCACTGTCCAACTTACCCTGTTCCTTCTTCATAAGATGATTTCCATCTCAATGTTATAGAGTAAGGAACAACATCTGTGATGGAAAACTCACGCACTTTAAAAGCTGGAGAAAGAATTGCACACTAGGCAAAAAAAGAGAACAAAAATGTATTATATCCATGTAATCAAATAAATAGCAAGTACAAGAATTAATACTTATCATATGGAGGCCCTGCTTATCACAGACATTTCTTTTTAACAGAAACTTCCCAGAGTTAATCGAACTGAAAGACTTAAATAAATTAATAGGTATTATTTCTTCAGTGATTTTCAGTGAAGGTTCCAAGTGACAACACAGAAGTGGAACAGCAGAATTTGGGTTCTCAAATTTAACAAGTCTTTTTAACAAGCCTGTCCTTCTAACATGACACAGCAAAGTAATGAATGTAACAGAATTCCAATTAGTGCAAGAACAAGTAAGACTCTACCACATCTTGTCTCAGCTGCAGTACCTTTTGCTTGTGGTTAGCTGGATTTCATTAGTACATTTTGTTAAAGAAGCAATATTAAAGTTTTATCTCAGGAACTATACCTGCAAGGCACAGCCTCTTGCAACAGCTTCATCAGCATTTAGCGTGGTGCTTATCTCTTTACAGAAAAAGTTAGAGATCTGTTCCTTCACTGCTGGAATTCTAGTAGCCCCACCTACTATTTCTATACTGTAGATATCTTCACGCTGAAGCTCTAGAAAAGAGAGTGCATGCCCTTAAGTTATCATCAAGGTATCAGAAAGCTATCTTTGGACAGAAAAAAAGCAGAGAAAAAAAGATAAAAGTTCTCTTATTATCTATACACTGTGACAAGGGCTGAATGCATTTCATGGCTGAAAAGATCTTTAAAACTCTTTGTCCCTCCTGTAGGCTACAAGGCTTTCTAGTTGCACAAACCTGGGAAATGCAGAAGCCAAGCATCAATGAGAACAGCTGTTCTTTGAAGTGTGTTGTCCATGTGCATCCCCTTTCTGCTCTGCATGAACTCAGAAAGGTGAAACTGGGTCTTGTGCACTACTGGACATTATCTCACCTCTCTCAAAAACCCAACAAAATGAAACCCGAATAGATCTCATTTTATATTTGGCTGAATTTTGCTTGCCAAAAGAGAAAAGAAAACATTTAAAGCCAATATATGTAAAAAATAGCACATTGTGCTTGAAGGTTAACTTGCTGATTCTGGAATCAGGATATGTGTATGAAGTCATCTCAAACAATTGTCAGTCCTTGAACAGCTCTGCTCAGCAGTTACTCAGGTTTTTAATTCCTGTATTTGCTATCGAGCCAAGTCACAAGATCAGCACAATTCTTCCCTTTCAGTTGAAGGTGCTGGAATTGGGGGTAAAACCTTCCCTGCTAAAGTCTACTTCTCTCCTTTACACTACATTAGGCAAAAAAAAAAAAAAATTACTTTGTTATTGGCACATGCTTTAGGTAATTCAATTTAAGAATATACTGCGAAATTACCAGGTCAGTGAGGACATGTAAGTACCACATGGAACAGGCTGGCCAGAAGGTTGCAGTAAAGAATAATATATTTTACCATCATCATTTTGGTTTGGTTGTTTGGTGGTTTTTTTAATAAATTCAGAGTGCCAACCTTTTCCATGACACAGGGTGAATGAGGGTCAATAACCAAGGCTGCAGAGTAGCATGTGCACTAAATGAGGCAGGAATGGGGTCATGCATTCATGGCAAGCATATGAATGGAACTTACATTTAACTTTTCAGTATTTAGCTTTGCAATTCTAATAAATACAAAAATACATTGAAAAGATAATCATTAAGGAGATCAGCAATGACTGGCTTACTAGCAGCACCTCAAGAAACTTGCACTTACTGGCTTGATCCATGGCTGCTCTTAGAGGAGGCTCCACTCTGGCCAGAAGGGCAGCACACAGCTGCTCGAACTGAGCTCTGCAGGGCAGGGAGAGTGTTGGTGTTACCAGGCTGCTCAGAGACCACAGCCCCTGGCCCAGAGAGGGAACAAGAGCCAGTACCTGTTCATCTTGCTGGAGACATCCAGGTCGTTCATGAAGCACTCGATGTTGAGGGGAAGGTCGGAGGCGTTGGCGCTCATCAGCTTCTTGAGCTTCTCACATTCCTGGTACAATCGCAGCAGGGCTCGGGGGTTCTCCTTGACATTCAGCTTGTATTTTGTCCTAAATTCTTCAGAGAAGTAATCTACCAAAGCCTCATCAAAATTCCTGCCACCTACGAAAGGGTCAAAGGTAGTGGCCAAGACCTGGCAGAAGTCAAAGAACGAGATCAGAAGTTATCAGACAGGGTTTGTGCTGTGTCATTTACTCAGCAAAGTAAGAAGTGCCATCATTGCCCTCCACACAGCTTCAGAGGGCATTTGGCTACCACAGACAGGCCCACAAAAGCACTCAGCCTTTAGTAGGTCACAGACAAAAAAGTCTCCAAACCAGGAGGCAAAGACTGTGCAGCTTTGCTTCACATCCCACTGGATTTAGACTTTGAACTGTCATGGATGGCACAAAAAAAAAAACCCCAACAACTCACAGTGACTCAGGGCAGTTCAAGAGTCTCCCATAAGTGAGTCAGTTGCACAACTGCAACACTTAAGAAACTCCCTGAATATGCAAATATTTCAGGACATGACACAAAAACTGTGTGGCGTCCTTAATGATCAAGCACTTTCCAAAACACACTTCTGTATTTTACAAAAACTGACTTGATGAAATAGCCAAAATGTAACAGAAAGGTTCTGTATTTCACATTTAAAAAATATTTTCTATAGACACTTATTTTTTTAACAGCTAATCTTTCCGCAGAGCAGTATTTTGAATTTTAAATACTTCAGGCTTTTAATGTACAACTTAAAAGATTACCTTCAGTTTTCCCTTGTTAAAAGCACAGATGGAAACCTGATATGCAGAATGCCCCATATCTACAAAGACCACATTTCTTGGCTTCTCTTCCAAGGCTGGCAGATCTTGCTTGTATATTCCATAGGCTAATGCAACTGGAAAACACCAACCCATGGCAGGTAAGGGGAAGGCACACACAGCTGCAGACCATGCATTAAAACACCACCAAGAGACAGACACTGCCCATGTTCACCCTTCCTAAAGACCTTCACAACTCTCATTAAAAAGTCAAACTTGTGTTGAAAACACATTTTTCATTGACAAGAGAAAAAGATATGAAGGTTTAGCACTAATAAATACTCCCCCTGTATTTCCATTCTGCTTGTAGCCAAATTAACACTGCAATCTGTGAAACTGCACAGATTAAGACTCATGCCTACACCTCTCCCTTGAAATGCCCTAGCTTTGAAACATTCAAGCATGGCCAAGAGATAAAGGAAATGTGTAGCTATGATATTTTCTGAAAAATCCTTTCCTTAGGATTTTTTTCTCCTGAGACGCTGAGAGGCCTCAGGAACAATATGTAAACAATTACATTTTGTTTATTAACAATTGCAGTGTTGATTATCTGCTGCTGTGGAATGCAACAGGTGCATCTGTGATTGGTCTCATGTGGTTGTTTCTAATTCATGGCCAATCACAGTCAGCTGGGTTGGACTCTGTCTGACCCACAAGCCTTTGTTATATTCTTTCTTTTTCTATTCCTAGCCAGCCTTCTGATGAAATCCTTTCTTCTATTCTTTTAGTATTGTTTTAATATAATATATATCATAAAAAAATAAATCAGCCTTCTGAAACATGGAGTCAGATCCTCATCCTAAGAGCCCTGTGAACACAGTCACAGAAATGTTTTGGAAGATTCATTCACACAAATCTATGCTTTCACAACCAGCACTCATTTGGAAAGCTTTTTCAGACTTTTTAAAAGCAAAGAGAATCAAGAAAAATAAAAATTACTGATTTAAGCAGCTTTAGTCCCCATGAAGTGTTATGTATTTCTATGCTCTACCTTAGAATTCACCAAAACCAGAAGAGAGGAGTAAATTCCTTTACAGAAACAGTTGTGCCACTGCTCCAGCAGACAGGACTGCCCCCACTTGAAGCCCAGACCCCAGGTTTATTTCCAAAGCCATTCCCAAGTGTGAGTGTGCTCAGGCCAGCAAACCCCAGCTCTCATGGTGCCTCCCAAGGGCTGCACTCCAGCTCACTGCTGTGTTTCCAGTTCCCAAACTGGAATGGGCAGTACTAGCCTGGACAGCTCTCTCCCAAGCTCCCAATTGTGTAAGAGCAGGGTGTCATCACCCTCACATTCAACAGCCTCAAAGGACAAAACAAAGCCCTGGCCCTTTACCTGCTGTAGTTTCATTCATCAGCTTCAGACAATTTAATCCTGCAATCTGTGCAGCTGCCATTACAGACCTTCTTTCAGCATCAGTGAAGAAACTGGGGACCTGTTTCCAAAAATAATGACATTGGATATTACAGGATATGGATTTTTTAATTTAGAGTAGTCAGACCTGCCTATCAAGCTATCCTATAAATGTCATTACCACAAGAAACTGTTATAAGCTAGCCTCAAATTATTAAGGCTGTCTGAATAAAACAGCTAGCAAATTTATTTTAATGCATATTTTAATTAAAAATTCAAAGTATGACAAAAATGAAGTTGCATCCAGGGTTGTTTTAAATAAAGCAGATTTTAACATGCAAAAAGAAAATCCTGAAAATGTTTTCTTGGATTGTTTAACGAGTCTTTCACCTTAAAATGATCACCAGTTTCTGCAAACACTTGTGCAGGACAAAGCCAACCCAACAAATACCCACAGAGAGCCCCACAGCAAGTCAGTGGCAGAAGCAATGCTGGAATCCAGCTTGAACCTGCATCCCTTTCTCAGCTCTCAGTGCCAGCTTGCAGCGTGCTGCAAGGCTCAGTGCCACCAGAAACAGCCCCAGCACCACCAGAGCCCATTCAGGATCTGGCTGCAATCAGCTGGCACCTCTTCAGCAGCCTCTTGAGCACAGCTCCATTTTGTTGTGTGTTTTCTTGGCTACCCCTGTGGGGCATTGCCAAGGATGCCTGGGTGTGTGGGAGGTGTTCTCCCAGCTTAAGGAAGCAAGGAAAAAGATCAAAGCAGGTTTTTGAACAGCTCAAGCACACAGCTTTCCAGTTCCCATGGCTGTGCCTGACAGGGAAGGGATAACTGCAATCCTTCCTGCCCAAACTTCCCAGCAGGGCCAGCAAACAAACACCACGTGGAAAGCAGACACAGGACCGTGGATCCAACAAAATAAAATTACTTTTTCAAACAAAGCCAAGTGGTTTGGGGGTGTCACATTATCAGCATGACCCTCAGAGCCCTAATTCAGGCAACTCTCAAATACAACAGTGTTCCCCCATGCAACCAGAAAGAAACTTAACAAGAATTTGGGAAGGTTCTTTGGAAGCAAGGAGGAAATGCTTACACCTAGGACAGCTCCCATTTGTAACAAGAGCTACAGCAATCAGAAACACTGTCTGTAGCCTTGGAGACAGACAGACTGCATCAGCTGAAGCACTGTGTCCTGGCTGAAAATACACTCTGGATTGAACAACCTTTTCATCTCCTCACACATGCTTCAAGAAGTGTTCTCATTTAGAAATCCTGCCACAAAGGCCCATTTTTGGGGATGTGATTTCTATCTGCTACTTGAACCTCTTACCATGGTATAAATGGCCCTAGCTTGCATGAATCTGCAATAAATAGACAGAACTTACTGAAATCACACAGTCAGCCACTGGTTTCTTCAAAGCACTTTCTGAAGTCTCCTTCAGCTTGGCCAGCAGCATTCCTGTGATCTGTTCCACTGCAAACAGTCTCTCTTCATCCAGGTACCTCACCTGGAACAGAGCATTGGGATTCTGTGACCAATCATCCCAACCTTGCTCTCAAGATGTGCAACTTCATAATAATTATTCATTCATAATAATGGATTATTATTCATAATGTTGAGCACTGAGACCCACTGAACATCAAGCTCTAGACACAAGTAACTCTCTTTCTATTGATCTGTGCTCCCTACAACAAATCTTCAACAGTTCAGCTTGGGGTTTTTCTTTTTGTGGGAAGCTTAACACCTCACTTATCTCAAGGGATTATTCACAATGATACAGTATTTCTGCTGCTTGTGTATTTTGAATTAAAAAAAAAAAAGGCACAAAAAAAAAAAAAGAGCATAATATAAATGGGATCACATTGTGCTATAACACAGGCTAAAAATAAAAGTTTTGGAGCAATCCCAAGGAACATTTGCTTCCTGCAACAGTCACTCAAGCACAGGAGGCAGGGAAGGTGTAAACCAGGCAATTCCAACACTCCTGCCCTGCTCAGGAAACGTGGCTGAATCCTCAGCCTCCATGGGAGGTTGTGTGTCCTGAATTCCTAACCAGCTATCATCTCTCCAGCAATCCCAAGCACTCCTGCCATTTAGTTTGGAAGCAAATTAAAGCTAATTTGTCCAAATTTCATATTCAGAGCATTATGTTGTTTTCCTGACACTTGGCCTCTGCATGTCTGATGGGAACTAATAATCTCACACTGTAATTACACAGATTTGAAGATAAACTTAGTAAGGCCAAGTGAAAAGCTAATGTGACTAAGGAAAATTATTATGATTGATGAGAAGCCTCAGTGGACATCCTGGAGAAAGTACAGACTTCTTTAGAGACACAGCAATTTTCTAAATCTCATCATTTCTAAATTTTTAGATTTCTAAATTTCAGATTTTCTAAATTTCAGATTTCCTAAAGGAAAATGGAACTGACAGAGTAAGTTAAGTGACAAGGGCCCAAAGTGCTCATCTCTGCCACCAGAGAGATTCTACCCAAAGCTCTCACCCACCTTCACTCCTACAGAGCCATTTGGCATCTTCTGAAGCTCATAGGGAAGTTTGGCCCTCTCAGCTTGGATGTAAGGATCTTCAAACGCTCTTCCATGCAGTTTTTTGAAGCCATGGACTGCATTTTTCACATTTGTGATGATCTGTGGCAAAGATATTCTCGTTACCCATGACATTCTGATACAGAGGACTGTGCAGAAAGAAATTTTTCATGTTGGCTTTAATGCACACACTGACCTGTGTCAACCGCCACACATTCACCAAAAAGCAAAGTGTGAGGAGAGTGAAAGAATCACCTACTTTTTTAATCTATGGCCCCAATTAGAAAAATTCATATGTACTTCTCTCTGTAATATCCATTAACTTGCTGCCATCAATTTTCACTGTACTTTTTATTTTAGAGGAGCTTTTGATACAGCATGAAATATTTAAGATGCTATATTGTTGCAGTGGCTGCCTTGAGGAACTAATGAAGTTATTACCTACATTAACCTTAAATGAACCTTCAACAAATTAACACATTTCCCTTCCTTTAAAGTTCTCCTCTAATTCAGATCCCATCTGGATGTAAAGCCTCCCCACACCTATTTTCTCACCAGTTTTTTAACCTAGTCATTTTCAGGACAGCATTTAACCAAAGAAAGAACCAAAACAAACAAATCCCAGCAAACACAATACTTCAAGCTATCAAAATAAACGACTACAAGACAATCTTCTCCAAGATGAACTTGTTTACAGGTC